CCAAAATTCGCAAATCGAATCTCTTCTTTTTGATCCATTAAACACTATTTTAGATGTCATAATTGAAAATACATGTACCTATAAGGTTCAAACATCGTTGTTTATCAAACCTGCATTATGTTACTGCATTGTATAAAAAAACGTATACAGTTAGTCACAAAATGTCTATATTTTGTTCTAAATGAATTCCTCTCTCAAAGAAAAAGATATTTTTCTGACCACAATTTTTCAACCCATGTTCTGCGATAAATTTCATATGATTTAATACAAAATCTTCACAAGAACACAAATTCGTAAAAGAAGTGTCCAAAATGTCAAATGAAGTTGATTTTAATTTAAACATTCAAATTTTTATATGCACTAGCAGCGTGCACATCAGAGGAACATCACGGAGTTCCTGCACTGCCACGGTCGTGTATTTTAGAAGCTGCCAATTTAATCAAATTTCCGGGCAGATGTTGCCGAAAACCGGGTAATTTATCATTGATGAAGGCGATATTACAGCTAGATAAAATAACTCCGGTCTGGCTACAATGAAAGCTCTTTTTTGGGGGGTTGCATTTCAAGACGGCCGCATAGTCCAGGATAAAACCGCAAAGAAGGGAAAGAAATTTGGTTAGAAATACCGCGGGGTGTTCACCGGGACATGTCTCGTGGTCAAATCTCAGAGAAACAAATTTGCATGCATGTAATTAAATTCCAGTTGAACCGGGCACGGTGGCGGCACATCAAAGGACGGGAAACCGGCGATGCGCCGAGGAAAAAACTGTTCTGGGTTATACAGATCTGGAGGGCATCGTGTTTGAATTGAATCCCGTCGCAAATTGCGCGATGCTGGGGCAATGATTGGAAATGAGTTGGAAGATGAAAGAAACGAGGGCTTCAGAAAAAAATATGGAATTGTGGGGCTTAGCGTAAATGAGTTTTGTGGAATTCTCCTTGTGCCCTGCGATGAACTGGAGTTCAGGGTTTTTAGTGGTCTATTTCGATATGATGCACGATACACAAACATGCTCTGTAATATCAGTTTTACTTATGAATGATTAATTAGTCATGCTAACTCAGATTTGTTTCAAATCGGAAATTAATGTTTACATGAGATCAATAACATGTGGTATTGAAGATTTTTCCAATGCATCATGGAATGTCCACAAAATTATGTACATGTATACATAATCATTTTGCAATTTTTATACAGAAAATAACACGTTACAGGTATGCTCAGGATTTTAAGGCCAAATATTCACACTTTCGTCATGTTGAACTAGCTCAATTGGCCTGAAAATTCCAAGTTCTCTGTTTTGTTTATGGGTTTTGTACATGGGCTGAACGATGCAATTCATTGTGTTTGAATTTTATAACAAATCACAAATGCATTTTATGTTTCTGTTCACATGTACATTTTCACCCTGGACACAACCAGGGGACTTTGTTTCAAGCATTAACTGCTGGGATTTGTGCCTTTTGTCATAGTCTGACCTCTGATTTAATAGATTACAATTTAAACTAATCTACAAGGTGTTAGAGTATTATGTATGTCAACCAATTGCATTTTAGTTCCTGTTATCATTCAGGAAGTGCCATAAGTTCAGCAGTGCCATGTTGTTGTTAAAACAACATCCACACGAGAATACTTTCGGGTAAATACAAGTGCTTCACAAATAGTCCATGTCATTTTGATTACATTAATAGAATTTGGCCTTACGTGTTCCACTGCTTGGGCTAACTATCATTAATATGTCTTCCAATAAGTCCATAATCAAGAAAAAGGACGCACACCTACATGTACATGTACAATCCAGGAGCCTGTTTGCAATAGCCCAGCTAGCTGCAGAATGGTCATCAATAAATCTTTAACCTGGGTTGACCTTTTGCTCAACAAAGCCTGTGATTGAGGATGTGTGGGTGTGCAGATTCCGCCGCCGAAGCCCCTGTGTTCTTTCACCGCGCAGGTCAAGTTGAATTATCGCTTTTCCAGCTGGCCCCTAGGTCCCCCCCCCCCCAAAATTATTTCCAATGACTCTCTCACCAGGTCCATTATTGCCAGACAGGGTAATGGCTGGATTACAGTAGGAACCACTCCCCAATGATAATGTAGCAAGAAAGGGCTGTTTATCCTTCCAGGAGAGAAGGAAGTAGGGAAGAAAAACACAAGGAACCAGGAATTTGGGAATGAAGAGCGAAGACTTAAATGACCCCCTGGGGTCAGGGTTTGACCTCCAGAGGTCACAGGCGCTGTAATTTATCTCTGGGATTGGTACCCAACAGTCCACCAAATCCCCGCTAATACCCCAAATGGGATTTGGATGGGTGTTGATAATAAATTGACCACCAGCTGGCGTGGGTCCTGTCATTTTCCAGGGGCTGATTTCATATCGAGCTGCTTGGCAAAGAATTGCGTTCCAGGTATGTCGGAACATTACCCGGAAATGAACTACTGATTTAATGAGAAAAACCTTGCATGAAGGGAGGATAGGGATGGTACCAAAACCCTGTGAAATTATTCCATCAGAAATGGTTTTGGTCAAAAGAAAACCAACTATTGTAAGGTGGTTTTAAAAAAGTGTGTCAGCGGCATACCTTTTTCTTTTGTGCGTTAGCCAAAAAATCCAGTCGTGAGGATCAAAACATTGTGCATATTTTTTATCAATTTTTTTTTCAAAATGTATGGTAGCCACTAAGTTAAAACTTCAACATGTTAATTGGTTGGTAGGCTTATGCACCCTGAAGATTTTGAGTAATCATGTTGCTTCAAATGAAAAAAAATTATACATTAAAGTGTGTGAACAGTCACAGACTGTCAAAAAAAATCAATCCTCTTCCCTGCCATGCCTTTTACACAGGCTAGTCACCAACAGTCAGATCACATTTCAAGCAAGCACTATGACTAGTCAAATTCAGTCAACAGACACAGCAGGCAAGTGGTAGGCACAGCTGGCTTATCAATCACCTAGAATCAAAGCATAGCTGCAAGTTACATAAACAGTCACAGCCTGTCAATCCTGCTTTATGTAGGCAGGGAGCACTCAACAGTTAAAAACAGTCACTTGACTGATTTTGACTGAAAGGACAACTTTGCACAGAATGTATGTTTACAAATGATCCTCTATACCTACTTGTATAATTACAGAAATTAATGTGTTTATAAAGGACGGGTTACCAGCCAATCTGGCATGTATTATATTGCACAAGACTGGTTCTCAGCTTGGCACATCTGCTGAGCAAAACTTCTGCTTTAATAGCAGCTATGTACATGAAATTGACCCCAGTTGACCCAGGCCTAGGTGTGAGCGACGAAATCACCGGTGATGACAGGAAACTTGTGGGTCAAAAACTGGACATCATCGGGAGCAATGAACTTGGGCAAGGTACTTGAAGGGGACTCCCTTTGTCAAGAATCATGGAGCTATTTCAAACATCAGAGAAATGATGAGAATGTAATTCACAGGAAATCTAAGCATCTTATTCCAATCAGAGTACGGCCCCCTTTCATTCAGGATTTTTTATCAACAAGTTTTTGAAAGAAATTATACCAAAATGGTGCCCTAACTTTAAAAAAAAAAGTTCCCTTTTTTGGGGGTTAACAGATGATTTTTGAGAGAAAATTCCATCCAAAGATGATCACCCTTAAAAGCAGTCCTGAAGCCCATCGCCATTTTGAAAATGGACGCCTACGTTTCATTGCCAAATAGAGCCATTTTTGGTCCTAATATCACAGAAATACAAGCTTGCAGTCCTCTGCACGGCTTCCAACCATCTTTTATACAAATCATCAAGTTCACGGCTTTCAAAATGCTCTAATACCAGAGAATTTGAGGGCATGCGAATCGTGATTTGGCCGGCGTAGGCAATTTCAACCGATTTTATACTGGCCTGCACCCTTTAGGTAATCCACCTCCTAGGGGTGGTAAGAGCACTTAAGCCATGGGCCCTCCCCCCCCCCCCCCATTCCAAAAGTCCTAGATCTGTCCCAGTATCTGCACTTGACATAAGAGCCACCTGATCCAATTTCACAGGAGTTACTAACAGTTGGAAAGGTAATATGAACACACCAAAACATTGTTAAACATCAAGAAGTCTAAAAGCAGTAGATCACGTTTGAGTGGAATATATTTTATTCACTTTATTATAAAAAAAAGAGTCACCTCCATTAGTGTACTGTTGATTAATATTTTAAAATAAACATTGTGAAATCAATCTTGCTTCAATATATACAGTACTTTATATGCAAAATAATTGAAAAAAAAAGGAAAAAGTCAGCAATAGGTAATTATCAAGCCATTTTTGTCCATTGCACAAATTTCAAGCCTCTAAAAAAATACTGGTGATTTTTACACAACAGCTAGTGTGTGTTTACTTGCAATTTGTGAATTACTGGCAGAAGTTTACTGTTATAACCGGCACTGCAGATCAGAATTTTCGAGTCATCCATGCGACTCAATTGTCAAAGGAATGTTGGAATTTTTTTCGGACATGGGTTTGCTTAACATATTACCAGTGTCAAAATGCATACAGATTGGGGTTTGTTAAGATAAGCTGTGAAAATATGTTCATGTATGCTAACGCAAACGAAAGTGAAGAAAAATAATTCTCCTAAAAATACATGGATAAACTACTTACTGCACATCAACTGAAAACAAAAATGTTGCCAAAATATCTGTTGTTTTTAGTATTTTTTTTTATTTTTGTGTTTCACTGTTGCATTAGTTAGAGAATGGATTTGGATAAAAGCTTAACATTTGTTCTAGATCATGTTCGTGGCAGATGTGTTTTCATCATAAAAATGGGTACCTAATTTAAAAAAAAAAAAATAATTGATATCTGTGATTAAGTTTTATTGGACACTGAGTGAGTTGCGCATGTGCGTTTTAAAAAGTAATATTGTGCAGAACATTAAAAAAAATTCAAAATAGTAAAACTATACACCCATGATGACAATGTACATTTTTACAAAAAAAAATTATATACAACTTCCCTCGGCAGAAGGGAAAAAAAGTTCATTAAGTTACAGTTTAAGTTAATAGAAATATGCCTCCACCATCACCCAACCCCTAGAACCCAAATTTTGCTTTCACTATTAAAATTAAGCCAACAAAAATTTCAGTGTACATAAGTACTGAATGACAGCATTCGCAGAACATTTCTAGCACTGATCTGGCAAGATTTTGATTAATTGACCACTTGGTAAAAAAATAAATCAGGAAATCGACTGGTATGTTAAGTTAATCAATTGCTATGGCAATGCTTGTTCTCAGATTCGCATGTCAGCTTCACTCTCCAGGACCGTTCATATGCCATTGTTCAAAACTGTCAACAGAGGGCGCTATCCCAAGTTAACAGCAAACTGATCATACCCATGTGAATTCCACAGCAACCAATGTCTTGAATAGAACAATGAATATTTCCTCCAGCACATTACACTAGTATATTATTTTCAAACCGACAGGCAAAACAACTCTGCAAGTTAGGATTTCTGGAGCTTGCATAAATTGTGCAAATTAGGAAACGGTTTCATTAATAGTGTTTGCAGTGTCCGATACCTGCTTTTAAAATTCGAGACTAAATTTGAACTTGCCGACCAAGTTTGAAATATCGATGAGTTCATAGTGTCACAACGAGCTGGGGTGAAGACATCACAACTACATGTAGGTAGACTAATACGCAACATTATTTGCAGAAGATTAGCTAGTCAATATGTCCTTATGTCCAAATAGCATGAGGTAAATATTTCACACCCTTCAAATACCGGTAAGTCCTTGAAATGAGCAGCACTGACTTCTGGTGTGGTATGCCACCTAATCTCAAGCAAACTGTCGTATCAATGATTTGGTTTGAAGTTGTATCGCATAATGGCAACACACATATTGTTCAGACTACCAAATAATGGCCTGGTCTTACAACACAAAACTGTCTCAACTCATAATCCAATGTAAATTTAGCTCCTTTGATGGTCGAGCAAACCTTCAGTTTTCAAAAACAAATTTCAGTATCCGAGTAAAGATCTATAAATATCCGGAGTAAAGATGTAACAATTATTCTCAAGCAAAGGTTTTGAAAACCGTATCACAGATTTGGTCTCTTTGGTACACAAAAATAACTGTGAGTGAAAATAAAATGTTCTCTAGTAGAGTTATGTTATTAACATATCTAGTACAATGGTTGCCTGGCAACCAAGAAGGCTATTTTCATGGATATCTATTAGAGCAAGATCGGGCCCGAACTATAGTTAACCACAGTTCGACTAACTTCACTCGAACGAAGGATGATTGGCCTACTCTAGACGACTTTTTGGAACCGCAGCATGGTTGCACCGCTGGTTACCTTAATAGCCGCGCGCATCATAACGCACAACGGTGAGCCAGGACTTTTGACCATCGTTTGATGACAGGCGTTCGGGCGTTGCTATTTCGTGCGAAGGCATAAGCTAGGTCACAAACCAACCACAAGTCGACTCATGGCTCTCGCCCGTTCTTGCTTATTGTGTCACACATAGTTCTCCCCCATCATTATCTTAACAGGGGAATATGACAAACATCTGTACTTCCATACTTTTCACTTAAAGGTGCAAAAGAAAATTAATAATAAATAAACACAGTGGTGACTTTGGCCTTGCGCTGGCAACAAACTGTAGTTATAAACAAGTTATTGACAGATTAATTTACAACGAAGCGTCGTTAGAGTGTATATTAGTACAACAATAATGAACTTAATTGGCAGGCGAAATCCACAGCATTGCAAGTCACGAGCGTTCATTTTTGAAACCTTCCTAAATTTCACTCAGATGTCATCGTGTTGGCACCATATTCTCTACAAAAATGCTATGGCACTATATGTATAAAGCTCAACGTACATCTACTCGAGCAGATTGTTTTTCAAACAAAAATCTGCCGGAAAAAAGCTGGTTTGACTCTAACTACTGTGGATTTGTCCGAATTTCAACAGATTGGAACTTTTGAACAAATGGACGGTTCTTATGGTTTAGTATGTGGTTGTAAAGCATGATGTCTTCATTAACTTGCTGCTAACAATCTGGATATGTCCATCGGGTGAACTCCTTTGTCCGTTCTTCAAGTCAACTTTCTGGCTGGCCAGCTGCTGTATTTTGATGATCCAAAGCAGAGGTAAGTCCGACGGGAACTTCAGTTGGGCATTAGACTAAAGTTTTGGCAACAGTGCAGCAGGCGTGTGGGTGTTGGATGATTGGTTATAGATGATTCACAACCACCAATCAGGGAGGGACTTACATGAAGCCTTCGGCTGTTGGTAGAAGTCCACTCATTTTGTTGGCTTCTCCGGCTCCAACTTGACACCAGGAACGTTGAAAATGGATGCAACTGCAACAACGAAAGGAAGAGAAACGTTCTTTCAATGTTTAGCTTGTTCTTCGAGAACTGGTTATTACCAGAGCTGGTCTTTACTGACATCAGTTTTCTTTTGGAACAGAAACCCTTAACACTTTTTAGCTGTGGCATAGCAACTCGACAAATCATCATGTCTCTCCGTTAGTTAGTTAGTTTGTTAGTAACAAACGTTGACGTTGTCTAGTGCTCCTACATGTTTGACCGATTTCATCAAAACTTTGTCATAAGTATCAGTAGCCCGGCCCCAACATGTCACGTGACCAAACTGGGGTCAAAGGTCATCTTGGGGTCACTGGGGTCAAAAAGCTGATTTTTGTACTCGAAACACTATACTCCTTCCAGAAATAACATGGCACAATCACGTGACTCATGCATGAACATGCATTTGTTGGCCCGCAGCTTCCGAGATCCGATCGAGCTTGTTGTTTGTCTTGTGAAAAATGCATGAAGTGAGTCGGAGCAAAACTTTTATTGGGTCAAAGAAAAAACTAAAGACCACGGCTCTACTTAAACTTTTTCAACCTTAAAATATAAGAAATGAAATGGAATTTATGAGAGCTTCGGACTCATATCATGTGTCATCAAAATAAATTGGTTTATCTGGAAACTCATTTGTCCACGGTTTTCTAATGCGGCTACCTTAAATATTAACTAATTGGCATTACCTAAGTTATCGGCCGACGATATGTGACATTTTAGCAGCATTTTCTGTTTAATATTAGAGTTATCCTCGATACATCTCAAACAACACCAATGTTTATAAACAGCAGGATTTAAAGTGAAATCCTTTGGGTACTTACTGTCGGGAAGGTCGTGTATTTTAGCTGGCAGGTTGCTGAAGTAGTGATGCTTCATGGCATCTGTGGTGGATATTCTCCTCTTAGGATCCAACTGCAGGAGATTTTTGGCAAGATCATCACCGCCGTAACTGACACACAAACTGCAAAGTACACAAATAAACAAACACATACTCTGAAACATCAGTATAACAAAAGTTCCGAGCACTGCATAAAATGTTTGCATTTTACCATGTTGCTGTTACTATTAATTATTTTCTACTATCGTTAAAGCTGTCTAAATGTTAAAGCTGTCTAAGTATGTAAATTTTAAAAATATATCAAGATGTGTTTTCATTGTTTGCTGAATTAAATGTATCACCTGGATTAATGGTCTTTTCAAAACAATTTTTTTTCCACAGAAGTTAAGATTCCACAATTTCAATTTGTATTGCTGTATAATGAAATAAAATCCGGCGGCAACTTGTGCTTATGACTCAAAATAAAAACATCGCAAAATGCCAAGCGGCGTTGCTTTGTGCTCTGCGTTTGTTGGATTCGCGGTCTCCCCCGGTGTAAAACTATGTTTAAAAATGCCCTATCTGGACAAACTCTCAGTGCTGAGATTGTTTTCAAAAGTTTGAGCAATATGCTCCAGAGAAAGCTGTGGAAAATTGGGACCTAAGACTTGTTTTTTGGCTTTTTTTTAAATCAAAGTGTCATCTTTATAGTCTTTAACTTTTACATGGGATAATCGATATATCAAATATCCTCGATATTGGATTTCCGATATATATCGATTATTGAAAATTCTAATATTGAAAATTCTAATATTGACGGTGCTTGCATGTTGCCATTGTATTTTCTTTCTTTTTTGTGAACCTACAGTTGTCATAGCATTAGCCTTGAAAAAAGAAATATTTGTTGCCACATTCACGAAAAGGAAAGAAAACTCCAGGTTGCGTGTTAGCTTCTCTGCAGGTAGTTTCCTGCGAGTGGTCATGGCTTGCACATGTTTCCTGCACGTTCAGTGCGTACCACTCACACAACAGGTGTTTGTAAAACAAAACTTGTTTGTTTCAAAGGACAGTGAGTTTCTAGCATTGTGCAATCCAACCCTAGGATTTCCTTAACAAACTTGGCCCCAAAAAGTGACAAACTTCCGGAGTTTTGAAAACTTATTCACGAGCAAGGTTGTTGTACATGTACGTGTATTTTTTTGAACGAATTTAGCTTACAGGTTATGATTGGAGTAGCATTTACAAGCTTAACTATCGAACTAAACAGTTTGCATATTGATAAACCCTTCATCAGATCCAAACCTTTTTTTGGTGAAATGTACATGTACATGCCAGACACATTAATGAGCTGCCATTGGAAGAGTTAATGTGATACATCACTAATGATGTGACATCTAATGAGCAGAAAACAATTACAGACCAAACTAAGGTACCACCACCTTATCGACCTTGTACATGTACGTCACGTGGTCAGACGCACATGTACATCTACATACAGGGCGAGTTAAAAAAAAATGAAACCCAAATGTCAGGACTATTTGTTTTAGTGAAGCTCTGCATGTAACACTTTCAAAGTCTAGCACAAGAAAGCCCAATTCATAAGCTTTCTTTTAGTACAAGAATTGTTCAAATCACTCATGTACTTTTCAAGTTACAGAGTTTTAAACACAACCACCGTCTTAAAGTTCTGTCCACGGATCACAAAAAAGGTGTGCGTTCTTTCATCAAAACGAAAACAATTCACTCACATCCCTATGTGATTTGTTTCGTTTTGCTGAAAGAACACTGAACTATTTTGTGATCCGTGGACAGAACCTTAGAACGGTGGTTGTGTTTAAAATTCCGTAACTTAAAAAGTACATGAGTGATTTGAATCATTCTTGTACTAAAAGAAAGCTTATGAATTGGGCTTTTATATCCTATAATTTCAAAGTGCTACATGCAGAACTTCACTAAAACAATGGTCTTGACATTTGGGTTTCGTTCTTTTTGACTCACCCTGTATACATTAGATTTTATGGAATTGCCCCCCAAGGAGAAAATCATTCCCCAAAACTGAGTCCACTTTTGTACGAGACACAGAAAACTTCCCGGTTGAAAGTTCAGAAAGAAATCAGGTCAGTTTTTCCTGTTTGCATGGGGAGGGAAGAGGGATAATATTACAATAACCAGCATGCCAGCTACCATGGATCTCCATTTCCTTTATCAAAATGGCAACTCATGCCAACTCGCTGGCATACTTCTGTCTGGGTGTGGTTTCATGGTCTTTGGACTTGACAGATACTGCTTCTATGGGTTCATGGAGGTACGCGGGTCAACGACATCATGCAGACCAAAACATAAACATTAAATGAGACTTGAAAGGTTTGCATGGTGGACAAGAACAAAGAATGGAAGATTTGCGGTAACACCATGTGAAAACAAATCACAGTTCTGAAAACTCAATGTTACAAATTTCCAACGTGAAATGCAGTGTTAAAAGAAATCTGTTACTGACAAAAATGAGAGTGAAGTTCAGTGAGTTGTTAACAATAGACTTGCAAATGCAAGAAATTTCTTCAAGACAATGACAAGACGACATGGAATGAGAGAAAAAAAATGCGAGCTTTTCCAGAGTTTATCATTTGGGTTGAAATTTTACCAGTTCAGGTAAAACTGTCCATTACTTAACATGTTTCCACTTTTTTTCCATACACATCACTCCAAAGTGAGGGGGAAAAAACGAATTTCATGTGCAAAAAATATCTCGGAAAAACCAAACACATTACTTAAAAGTAACCAAAAAAACATGGATGTTCATGTAAAAAAAAATCGGAAAAACCTACACAAAATGGTCTTTCCACAAATTCTACTTTGGTTTCTGGGATTTCCGTTCCATTTGTATGAAAGTTCCTGTGGTCAGGGTCTATCATTTCCTATTCAAAACCATAATCGATGTCTGGAAAATTCTTCTACCAAAAACCCACAATTGCCAAATTCCTACAGCGACATTTGTGAAGTACGGTATGTGTACATGTACATGTACCGTCGAATGAATGAATGAATGAATGAATGAGGCACCACTGGGCCGATTTCAAAATGAGGGTTTGTGGGTATAAGAAAAGAGAACACAATTTGCCTCACAGTGCTGTTTGTTGCACTTCAACCGGACATTCTGTTGACAAGTTATAGCTATTTGAAGTTTGCATTTGTCGACATATCAAGAAAGTGAAATACTGAGAAAAAGGCCTTCAAAGTTTTGTCTGTTTTGTAGTCATGAATATGAAAGATGCTTAATGTTTTTTCTGAAAAACACTTTTACTCCAAGATTTGTATAGCATTTCTTTAAAATATGTGTATTACACATATCAAAGACTATAAACATCAATAAATCTGAAAATTGGAAAAAAATCTTCAACATTATTTTTTTTACATTTTTCTCCATTTTGGCCTGTGCCCAGTTCTGTCTCATTTTGCAAGAACGCCTCACATATAACGAATAATCAAAAACCTAACTTTACATCATTTTCCTCGATTCCCCAAAGGCTACCTCTGACCAAATTACTTTTATATCGTCACAACCACCCCGAAGTACATGTAAACTTTCACCTATTCATCCCCGACATTGTGGGAATCACCAGTTTTAAAATTAGCGTTCACCGGATCAAGGATCAGTAACCAGTCACTTTCATTTTCGTCTTTTAAAAGCAATATCAGGAGGAAGTCTGAAGGAGAGAAAAGGAAACTCAAATTCTGTGACCGTGATATGTTTGCAAGCATGATCTGTTCATTCTGCAATTGTTTTCTTAGTTGAAGGGTGCTGAAATAATAATCTGAAATACTTAGGCGTCGGTCGTTTTGCTGTTGAAAGTTCAGCGCATTTTCCTTATCTTTGTTGCAAGCGCTTACCTTGGTATGACTTCACACAGTGTCCTAGGCGGGTGCATTTTGGCTGTAACTGTGGGCAAAGATTAAAAATAAAAGTATTGCTTTCACTTTCTGTTTAAGATTCAGAGAACATTTATTCATATCTATTAATAGTTCCCAGTAGTTCCCTACATAAACTCGCCTTTGCAAGAAACTGTATCTATAATGCAGGCATGCAAAAGGGAATTAAAAAAAGAAGAAGATAACCTCAAACCGCACAAGATTTGTGTACAGTGTATTTCAAGTTGTAATTGCATTCATGAGAAGTAAAAAACAAGGAAATCAGCGGATCCGAGGAAAAGGTAGATGCCTGATTATTGTGTACAAACGCTATGTGATGTGGAATAGAAGAACAAAAAGAGAAAGAACAACAAAAAAGAACAATCCACACAAAAACAAAAGCTGTTCAGGAGTCTCCCCAAAAGCCGACGATACACAGAATGAACCACCAACTAACCTGTTTTGTAGTTTGGCAGTCTTGACACACCAGGCCATGTGTCCTCAGTTGGCGTTCCCAAAACCTACAAATTGGAAGTAAAAAAAAAAGACAAAGATATCAAGAACTGACCTGCTTGTCGTTGCAAAACAACAGCATCTCTGAGAATTCAGACTGAAGAATAACACAAATTTACACAAAGCGGGGGAAATTTTTTAAAGAGTAAAAACAAATATTGCTGAACCCACCTTGAATATTCTCTCTAGCTGGTCCTTGAAATCTTTCATTCCTGGAAACGCTGGGTGACCCCTCAACATCTCAACGAATATACAACCCACACCCCTGAAAGAAAATCCATACCGTCCACAAAATTAAACCCTTGATTCACTTGATAAATGTGCATACTTTCAAAGTTTGAAAATTTAAAGCCATGAAAATGATTAATTATTAGATTTTTGTCCTTAACCTTAACTCCTATGCAAACATACAAGTTGTCTTTTCAGTCAAAATCAACCAAGTAACTGTTTTCAACAGTTAAGAGCTCCCAGCCTACATAAAGCAGGATTGACTGGCTGAGACTGTTTATGTAACTTGACACAGCTATGCTTTAACTGCAGGCGATTGATAAGCCAGCTGTGCCTACCACTGGCCTGTTTGTGTCTGTTGGCTGAATTTGACTTGTTACAGTGCTTGCTTGAAATATGATCTGACTGTTGGTGACTAGCCTGTGTAAAGAGATTGATTTTTTTGACTGTCTGTCCCTGTTCAGATAGCAGGAGGGTTAATGCGAACAATTTAATATCAGGTTGTGCTTCATTTGACAGTTCAAATTTGATATGGTGTACAAAAACTTGCAAAACTTCTCAATGAAATTTAGCAAGAGAATTTGCACAGCAAGGCAACTATATTGTAAGTATTTCAAACAAAGAAGCCTTAACTCACAGAATTTTTTATTTGCAAAAGAATTTTTTATTTGCAAGTTTTTTTTACAGAATTTTTTATTTGCAATTAAGTTTTTACATGCAAAACTTCTCAATGAAGGTTAGAAAGAGAATTTGCACAGCAAGGCAACTTTATTGTAAGTATTTCAAACAAAGAAGACTTAACTCACAGAATTTTTTATTCAAAAGAAAGCAAGCGTACTATAGGCACTAATTCTGAGGAGAATGAAAACAAAAATCAGCTTAGGCCAAAAAAATAAATAAGTCGGTCTCTGGTCAGCGCGCGTGTCGATTTTAATCATGCGCGTCGATCTTTTTTTTCCCCAAAATGTTCCGCGGTAGCTCCAACAGCACCTATTTCCGCACCTCCTCAATTTTTTTTTACCAAAGAGCACCAAGGAATGGGAAATTGCACCAAGGCAAATGATCGAAAGCACCAAGGCAAATTATGGAGGACACCAATGTACATGAGAACACCAAAAAAGCAAAATAGTACCCCACCTTGTCTGTACAATCCAAGCGTGAAGAAAAAAAAAACGTCACCGTGTCAATTCCGGAACTTTGGTCTGACCAGAGACCGAATATTTTTTTTTTGGCCTTATTTATGAAAAATACAAAAAAGAGTACAATGTATACTAAAGCAAGACACCACACACAGATATAAAAAAAAGAAGAAGTTGAATACACTTCTACTTGGGTGAATTTCACCGCATGTTATTTCATGTCTGAACACTTCCTATCGAGACTCTTCCGGTGTAGGCCTAACTCACCAGATGTCGAGTTGTGTGGAATAGTTGGTGGACCCCAGCAGCACATCTGGCGGCCGGTACCATAACGTGACCACTTCATGAGAGTACGTGTTGCTGGGAATGGACTTGGCTCTGGCAAGACCTGCAACAAAAACCAACGGAACAAGAGAAAAACAAAATTTAAAGGGAATATACATCATTGGCTTTTGCTGCAATTTTCAGAAATGAACTATTTGAGGGGTTAGTATAATAGATCAAATATTGTTTAACTGACATGTTTGAAGTTTTGTGTTACGAAAATGCTTGAAAAACCAAGAAAAACAAAAATGTTGAAGTAGTCTGGTTCCCTGACTCCACTAAAGATAAAATGGATCAATTTATAGATGTCAGAAAATTGTAAGGTAAGGGAACCAGTCTAGCCGGCCTGCACCCGTTCATGAACATGTAACCAATAGCAAACAAAATTTGGACTGAAATTCTTTTTGTAAATTTGGAGCAGTAGTTGAAAAATAGTTAGGTTTTTCCAACGGTGGTCGGCCGACCACCGTTGGAAATGTATACACAAATACAATTTTCTTGAAAATGACTTGACACCAGGTGCCATAATTTTAAAGGATGCTTTAGGCTGGCATTTACCAACATCCTAGTATGGTATTTCATAAAAACTTGGTAGTTTTATTTTTCGATATTGGCAAATGTTGTATATTCCCTTTAATAATGGCTTTTGTGAAGATATTTCTATTGTAATGCAGGAATGGAAGACTGCACTGTGTGATCACTCAGGAGAGCTACAATGTGCAGTGCGTGTTTATGGTGTAAATCGAGGGGAAAATGTGCAACATCATCGATGAGTTGAGGACAGGAACCAAATCAAGGACGACTTCGACTAGAACACGTGTACAAAACCAATGAGAGCTGTTGCGAAAAAGTTAGTGTAAACAAAGGAAAAGGGAAGAGGAACAATAGCAAATCCTCCTTTACACCCTAAACAAGCCTGTCACGACAGATCTATGTGGGGGTGTGTATGGCACAGTGTACGCACGACTAAAGTAGATTAATATGTGCAGGAAATACCGACGCAGCAGCAATGGCCCTGCTTCACTGGGAGCACACACAAGACAGATTCTTCATCTTGTCATTTATGTCATTCCACTCATTTCTTTGTTCAACATACCTTGATTAAAGGTGTGCAAAGTAGTGGTGGGATGAAAATCCGGATTTAAGAAAATTCGGTTTGAATTCCACTATTCGGTTTGGAATTTGGAAAATGGATATTCGAAACCAACGTTAACAAAATTAAGCCTTCCATTTTTTTTTTGTGACACAAGTTGAAGTAAATATCTGGAACATCCCCAAATTTGCTCCATGGTCTCTGACTGAATCTGCATTCACTCGCTTATGGTCTTCTAAGTTCATGAATAGCCTGCTCATTCGACTGATGAGAGAGTTCCCACACATTTTTTTTTCACACATACTGGAATTTGTATCCTTGTGGAGACATTCCTTTGTTCTCGTGTACTAAAGTTTTCGAGTTTCAAAATGCTCTTATTTTAACCAGAATTACTCTCCTTGGCTGAAATTTGGACTTAATATCCCTTTTCTAAAACTCTTCCATTTGCGACAGATCAACATAGCTTGGAAATTCGTAGTTTTTTAGTAAAATCCATATATCTATTTCGTGAAAACCTTGTGGAGACGTATTCATCTATAGAAATTGCCCTGTGAAGACGGATACAATCTTTTGTTCCCTATTGTACACACGTCTCCAGAGGGAACGGTGTATCAGATCACCATCACCGCTCTGGAGTTTGTTTTTTTGTAAAGGCCTAGTGGTCACTGAATCCCGCATAAAATACCCAATTATCGTGGAGGGCATTGCATGTGGCACCTCGCTCGTCACTTTTTGTTGGCGTTGACTGTGAGCTGAATGGAACTTCTGGTGAAATCGGATAACCGTTAAATTTGGTGTGAAAATAATTAGGATAACCGGATTTTGAAATCTCTGACTTCTCCCACCACTAGTGCAAAGTCACTCAGTCCCCCCTTTTAGCTTTATTCTAATTATGTGATTTGTAAGATAAAGCCATGTTACTTTCTAAATAATCCCCGATTGCCATTATTCAGGTTTTCATCATTTCTAATGTTACTAGCAATATGGTTTTGAGCATGATCGTTACCCTTCTAGTACATAAAACTTTATGGCTTCTGACTAGCAAACTATGAAAAAAACTGTCGAGAAAACTCGTAGACAGCCATCCTAAAGCTAGGTCATTCAGTTGTCAAAATCCTGCTTCACTCACTTTCTTTGTTGAACCTTACAGAGTTTTTGTTTGGGTTAAAGCTATAGTCCATCATTTGCAGCCATCCGAAAAGTAACTGGTGTAATTATTGTTGAAAAACATACTTGGTTGAAAGATAGTAAGGGAACTAAACTCCCTGTGAAATTATTCTTCCTGGCAAGCTGTCATTTTTAAGTAATCAACGAAAGAAGGCATTTCCAACGGTGATTCTTAAGAAGCACCGTAGGAAAATTTAAATTAGTAGTTCGTTTTGTTATTCAGCGCAGCGCGCACAAGTATTGGAACGACGCACACGCGCGCGCGGTTGTTATAATTCGTCGGATCAGTGCGCGACGTCGCGTATAGCTGCAATTCAAAACAATTCAAAACATGATTCAGTAACTTTTGATTTGAAATTGAGGTCTTAGAATGCTGTTTTTCTCGGAATGTACAGCTGAAGCTTAGCTGAAACTTCATCAGGTTAGTTGCTCAGTATCCTTCATTAGATTTTGAACTCTTTTGTTGCTACAAACGAACAAAATGCACAAATTACAAATGATGGACTGTAGCTTTAAGCCTTTAGTTTCCCAGTCACAAGGCTGAAAACTCACCGAAGTCTGCCAGCTTGAGTTCCCCGACCTCACTGATCAGGATGTTCTGTGGCTTCATGTCTCGATGGAGTATCCGCCGATGATGGCAGAAGGACAGGCCCCGCAACAGCTGGAAGAGAAACAGCTGGACGTTGTGGGGGTTCAGCCCGCCCGGGTGCTTCTCCAGGTAGGTGCTGAGGTCGGTGTGCTGTGGGTCAAAGGTTAGAGGTCAGAAGTAATCAGAGCTATAGCTGCATCCGAATATCTTGTCTACGGCTATATTGGTGCACCCAAGCAAATATATTCCCATTGACAATAGTGATAATTGCCCATACTTCAAAATTCTTTTAAAAATACTCAGAACTCTCACAGGTGTTCAGGCTGCACAGAAAAATGATGATGAACATGTCATCTTTCATTTTCTTTTCAATTTTTGGTGGGTTGACCGATGACTTTTTGAGAAATTCTCACCCAAATGAGACAAACCATAAAACGAGTGATGTTTCCCAAAGTGGAAAAGTAGCCATCCTGAAAAATAGATCCCTCCACAACATGGTTAAAAAGCACCACTTTCGGGCCAGGTTGCATCCAAAATGTTCTGAATTGGAAGCCCAAGTCCGTGCCAGAGGTGTATTGCCATATGTCTTCAATTTCCCTTTTCCATGGCTATTAGAACTCTCTAACATAGAAGAATTTTGACTGTATAACTTGTATTCATGAGCTCGGCGGACGGATTTTGGGCCTATTTACTTGGTGAGGCTCTGATGAATGATCATTATTCGCGATCGAATGCACGCAAAGAATTCTTCATAAAGACGATGTAATTTACACATTCGCAGTTTGTGGAATTGCCAATGATTTGTGAATCTGGGAAACGTTGAATAGTGAATCCTCAGCAATTTAACAAAGTATTTGTTGGGAATGCTTCGTAAAATTGATGTGAACATAAGTGTCTAGGTTTGCAACAATTAAAATGAGACTTCAATTTTCAGACCAAATGAACATCGCATTTGCACACTTGGCCTAACGTTATTGGGATTAGATGTTAAGTAATAAAAGATTGTCCTGATAACCATGCAAGAGAGTTCAAATCAGTTTTAAGCCGTACTCTAAATTAAGCCGATGTTTCGCAAATCCTCCTGAGAGTCTCACAGCAGACAAACACGTGTATGTTCAAACATGCAGACAAAAACGAGCAATTACATTTGGCCATCTTGGTCAGAACGGTAAGCAAAACGAATTCTCACAAATAAAAAACCCAATTATCGTAATTTGAATCTGGCCTCCCTGCGTATTGCTTCCATGTACTATGTGTATTTGCACTGTATTGATCACTCTCAGTAAAAGGCTAACAACATTCTGGTCAGGAAACACGTGAGTGTTTTGTTTTTCAGATCTCCACGTGACCTTTAAATCCTACTCTCTGTGCATCCTGATAAATATCCTTCAGTGCCGACTGGCTGGCTCCAGCACAATATAGACTCAAAAACAAAGTCCCTGAGTGCTAGATATGACAATAAAATATGCATGTGTGTGAAGATGTATCTCTCTACATACGTCTTATTAAGATCCGTAGAGAAAATGGACTGAGTTGTCGCTATTGTTACACGTGACGCAAATTGCCGTTGAATGGTAATGCGGTTTGTTTCCCACAAAGCGGCGAACTTTCACATTTTCACAATTGGCCTTGCGTTTGTCACTCATTTGCCTGAGTGCCGGACGGCGCCGCGACTTCATTATCGAAAATGTCATTGTGGGAAAAAAAATAGAAGATAAAATGGACATTTTCAACCCTTAGCAAAAAGTAATGGACAATGTACGTGTGGGTGTTTGTACGTACATGTACATTGTTTGACATTCTGTTTGACACTTGGTTTGACTTCCTAGAAGGATTTGTTTACAGTAAGAGCCTCTAACTCGAAATTAGCTCTGGCGACTTCCAATTCTATTTTATTTTTTTTTGGTTGTAGATATTCAAAGGCTGGTATAATCACAAATCTCCCATATCCCACTTTCAAGATTGAGCCCAGAAAGGAAACAGCAATGACAGACAATGTTAAAGTACTCTCTTTGTGTGATCTTGTAACCTTTCTTGACTTCCATGTGAACCTTTTTAGTCCTTACGTGTACTCATATTTCAGTTTTTCTTATTAGTCTTTGTGATTTGTATAAAATAATTTGCATTTTGTAATTTATTTATTTATTAATTTTTTTTTGGTCAATCAATCCACAACTCAGGCTCCAGGCTGCAAACAGAGAGAGTGAAAAAAAAAAAAAAACGGAAAAAAAAAAAAAAAAAAACCGAAAAAAAAAAAAAAAAAAAAAACGGAAGAAAAAAAATTCAAAACCGAGCCTACTTACCACATACTCAATGACAAACGTTAGCGTCGTCTTCGTGTGGATGATGTCATGCAGACAGACGATGTTGGCGTGCTTCAGGCCCTTGAGCAACGACGCCTCGCGGATCGCAGTGAAGGGCGCCCCCTCGTCCTGCTGCAGACGGATCTCCTTCAGCGCAACTACCTGCTTGTTGACGCTGGGCAAAACAACAAAAATTGCACATCATTAACGTTGGAATGTCGATGCTCTGCTCAGCTGAAATTCTTTTTAATGGATTTTCACCTATAAAAAATGTCCTGACTCCTGACTAATCACACACAAAAACATCTATACTGAAATTTGTATCCTTTTGGGGACATTTCTTTGTTCTCGTGTACTAAAGTTTTTGAGTTTGAAAGTACAGTTTCAAAATGCTCTTATTTGAAACGGAATTAATTTCTTTGGCTGAAACTCAGACTTAATATCCCTTTTCTAAAACTCTTCCATTTGCGACAGATCAACCCACCTTGGAAATTCCTAGTTTTGGAGTAAAATCCATATATCTATTTCATGAAAACCTTGTGGAGACGTATTCATCTATAAAAGTTGCCCTGTGGAGACGTATACAATGTTTTGTTCCAATATTGTGTGCATGTCTCCAGAGGGCACGGTGTATCAGATCTATGTCCTTCCATTACAAAATCTGGCTGCGCACTGTTTTGTGTGCAGACAAACTGTACAGTCACCCAGAAAAAAGTCAATACAATGCATTTTCGATTCAAATAAAAATAAATAACCAAGAATCATTTCGCTGAAGATATAACGTCACATTTAAAACAACTCTCGGACATAATTGATGTGAATAATTTTCTTAGTACCCGCTTGTTTGCAATTGTACATCAATTATTCAGGGACGTGTCAAGTGAATTTCAAGTAAACAACCCGGCTGTAATTGTGTTTCGTCTTTCAAGCGCTTCTCACTTATGCGACACTTTGAGCGCATCTCATAAATGTTTCAACGCGTTCACTTTTGGTTACGGTTGACAGATATTAGGGACGATTAGAAATGGTACGTGCAAGGGTTATATTAGCACGGCAGATAGGCGATGGGATTGTGCCTTTGATGATACAAGCATGGCATTTGGCACACAGTCAGAGTATGTCATGAGAAAGATATTTGGCTATAGGGCCATCGCAGATTTGTCCTTTGAAAAACAAGCAATGGCAGCCATTTTGAAAATTTTGGAAAAAAAAGCTAGTGCATGTGCCTAATTTCATAGAGCTGCTTAACAGTTAGCAGAAAAGTTGTGCTTACTATAGCAGAAAATCATGCTACTGCTTAAGCACTATTTCATGGTGTTGACGTGCTAACGGTTGGCGCTCATGGAGATTTCTATTGTTACGTCACTGATTTATGCAATTTGTTCCTCAGCGGTTAAGCGTGCTTATGCTGTGCTTACTGCTTACAGTCTCTATGAAATAGATGGAGGCTCTGTAAGCACAAAATCGGCTGTTAAGCAGTGCTATGAAATTGGGCCATGGTTGTAGACTTACCTGCTTATCGCTTTAAACACTTTGGCGTATGATCCCTCTCCTAGAGGACCGATTTTCTTGTAAGTTTCCAACTTGCCAAAAGGGGAGCATGACTGTTGAATAAGCAAAACAAAGGAAGAAGTTATCAAACAAATCAGGCTTTGTAAAAAAAAAAAACACAGTCCAATTTCCCACATGGAGTTGTGATGTCACAGCGATTCGCGCCGCTCATTCACAAATGTTGAGCTCGTATCAAAATTTGCAAATTTCGCTGTGAACATTGCGCAGCTCGATATTCACTTAGCATTCACACGAAGTACAAGTATGAACTTTAGCTCAAAACTAGGATACAGCTGTATGTACAACACTTGTACAAACCTTGCAAGACGCGAAAGTCACCCTTCTTTGGATCTCCGGAGGTTTATCGTCAGTCGGCAAATACAAACTGGTCGCTCTGGGCTTGTTGTTATTGTTCACATTACAAGCCGCACATATAGCCAGGTTCGGCATCTTTGTATATAACTCGCTGTATACGACAGCTCACTGATAGAAAAATACTTCCTTTGTTTTAGAATCGCCGCAGACTACTGAATGTCCGTTGATAACGCTGGAGCTTTTTATAGGCAACTTCCAATTTGGAACAGGAAGTCGGTCCAGATAGTTAGCGGACGATTGCAGGAAGGAGATCTGATTAGTGTGCCGCTGGGATGGCGCGACCTTGTTTGTTTTGGACCGTTTGTAATTTTATCAGTGAGGTAACTATTAGCCAATGGGATCGCGCCAGTACGCATATTGATGAGTTCAGAGGATGTCGTAAAAATGTGTACACGTTGGAATTAGACTGGTGTGGTGTTTTGTTCAGGTTGGTTGGGACAAGTTCAGACTGGTTGTCAAAATATGGGTCAACTCAAGTCAGCTCTATTATTAGGTTGGTCTGTGCTGGCAATAAAAACAAAAATCTCAGGAGTTGCGTAATGCCTTCTTTCTTTTTTGGCAGCTCGGCACGTAAACATTACCCAGATGACAATTTGTCATTTTTATTGCTCAATGTGGTATTGTGTAATTCAGTATGGGTTTTACTCTTAAAGGGGCACTAGGTCCTGAAATCCCCAAACATTTCATGTTTTGGATCGTTTACTTTATCCTATTTCAAACATCTGGTTGAAAGGAAACCAACCTAATGTCTCATTTTATTGTTCCCGAGAAAAGACAAAAAAAAAACTGGTTGTTTACACGACGGATTATGAATACGATTTTCCTGTCGTCTTCAATGTACAATATACACATTGTGTGTGTCTATTATAACGTAGGTACATGTATACAGCACTGTGCTCCCGAATAGCGGTGACCATACAATCACCAATGCACAAAATGTGGTTTCTTACACGTCCGCAAAAGGCTAACACTTTATGGACAAAATCACAACTAGCACCCAAACAGCTCGACTTTTTGGGGTCGCACAAGTAAACCCCGACAGTCGTTCTCGCACGCATAATACAGGAATAACACAAAAACGCCTAGTTTACATACATATAAGAATAGGTGTGGATGTTTATATCCTACATTTAAATGTTCTTTCCGATTAACATAATTTCGTTCAAAGCGCGTTTTGTAGCCCAATTGGGCTGTTCCAGGACGCAGTGCCCCTTTAACTGATGAAAAGCTACGGGTATAGGAACTTAGGAGAAAAAACTTCACAAGCTTACTCAGTTGGGAAGTGAACCTGAGACCAAAGTCTTGTTCTACAACCACGGTCTTTTCTGCTGGCCGATTTGAATTTGATTTGAGCAGCAGGTACCACAAACAATGCCAAAAGGTTGGAGGTCAAGAGGTAAGAAGACTGATCCAAGTTTGTCACTCATGAAACTAATTCTCATTCATGGATCTGTAACTGACCAAACTAACCAAATTTGGTCAGTTGAAATGATTTATTTCAAATATTATTCTCGCCATGGTTTGGTTTCCTTTTTTCTTGAAAATGACCACATACTATTACTAAGCGAAACGATTTCACAGGATGATAATGATTGTATAATTTATTTAATAGGATATTATGTAATATTTTTTGCAGTTTCATTTTGAATCTTGCCAATGTTGTCCATTATTAGCACAGGCCGTGTGCGAATTACTTGGCTGTGGCTAGAAATTACACACACCTATGGAAGCGGCTACGCCACTTCCCATAGACACGTGTGTTAGTTCTAGCCATAGTCAAGTAATTCGGATGCTGCCATACAATGACTCATATTTGTGTCTAAAGCAGTGCTCGAAGTAGCCACTCTGTTGCAACAGATACTTCATGAGACTGTGAGAGTAACTTGTAACACTGCTAGAGGCAGAGATTTGTTAAGTGTATTATGTTACATCCGGGGGGGGGGGGGGGGGTATATACTTAGGGGGGATGGGGGTATATACGTAGGGCCAAGTTGACCAATGGTTAACTAACGTTTGCCCGAACTCTGTCTAGTCAACGGTGGTTGACTACGCTACTCGACTATTTGGAATCAGCGTACTGGGGTTGGTTGCTTCGCTCGCATTCATAACGCTAGCAGAGAGCCAGGATCCAGAAGTTTTGCGATGACATTTTGACCAGCGTTTGACTAAAGACGTTCGCACGTTGCTATCAGTGCGCGGGCGAAGGTACGTCTCAAATCAACCACTAGTCGACTAATGGTCCTTGCCCGAACTTGGCCCTAAAGTGACACTCACAAGGAACAGCTAGATTCTGGAGCTGCTCAAGCACAGAAATCTGCTTCGCACAGAGAACAAATTTCTTAGAAAAAAAAAAAAATTATCCTGTTGCAGCCATCTTGATTTTTTCCCCATTCAAATCAACGTAACCAAAGCGAGGCTGGAAGGAAAAATAGTCTGGTTCCTTTTTGCACAAAACAACATTACCATTCAGTACTGTTATTGGATACAGGGAACATGACTGAAATGGTGGCAGCATGATAAAGGTCTATTGTTTGACTGGTTTGCAGCTAATTGACCTATCGCGGTTGAATCGCGTTAACAATCGCGACAACGCAGCTTGTGAAATATTGTCCAATTACATGTTATACAAATAGACGCGGAACGCGCAACATCTGAGACAAACAAAACTTAGCGTACACAAATTCCATAGGGTTGTCTAAGGGGCGTGGCTAACTCATAAACGGTGATTGCCAAACACTTTTAATTTATTGAGATTTTCTGCTCTTGCAGCTCAGTGTAAGTGGACTCTATTGCAGACTAGTGACAGGTGGTCGGACATGACCCAACATCCAGTAACGGCCAAACCGGTAGTCCACTACTTCCTCAAGCTCACGTATGTTCCGTCTGACCAATCCGGGTTGATTATACTCCGTCCACTCACCCCCCCTCCTCCACAACCCCCATTGACCAGTATTAAAACACACACTCGTCACGATGCGCACTTTTGTCAGGTCCTGTTTAATCGGACAGATGGAGAAAAGATGAGCAACCGATATCCACGTTGATTGTTGGTCATCAACTCCTACCTGTTTCCTGCGTGGTTAACCACACTTCCTAGCCTATTAAGAACTGTTGAACGATTGTGACAGAAGTTAACAGAAAACAAGAGGGACTTTCCAATGTGTTTCACAATACCTTTCACAATATGTTTGGGAACTTTTTATGAGAGTGCGTCTTTTTTAATTAGAAATGTGTATTCACAATTCAACTTGAACCAGACAAAGGTCTTCATAATTTAAAATACCAGAAGTATTCTAAAAGTGTTCCAATAAAAAATATATATATTCATACACCAGTGGTAGCAAGGAATACTATAGGAAAGGTTTTGAACAGTTCATAGGGTAGTAGATGTACATTTAATGGTTTCCTTATATCTATGTTCTGTTCTGGGTTTTTTCCTTCTAATTTTTAGGAAAGGACAATTTCATTGTTTGTGGTTAAAGGGATATTACGGCCTGAAATCTCAAACAAAAATTATGTTTTGGATTGTTTACTTATTCTATTTCAAAGGTCTGGTTGAAAGGAAATTTACTGTTCCTGAGAAAAGACGAAAACCTGGTTGTTTACATTGAACGTGGGGGACATTTTGTGGCATACGCATTCATGTACGTATTTCAAGCCGTGTCCATTTCAATGTGACCCGACAAGTTTGTGACTGACTAACATTGTTGGAGTACTCGTACTCGTGTACAACTCGAGTACACCCAAGTACTCGGCCCTTACTCGACTACCAGTACTCGAAAAAAATTTGGACTTGGCCCGTACTCGATTTTTTTCGGACTTGAATTTTGCACGGACTTGACGGTTTGGTACTCGGTACTTGACCCCAGTACTCGGCAGTACACATCGAGTACATTTCTTTTTAATCGATTCCACTGCTCAGGCGCACAATGGTGTGGTTGCAGTCTGTATTATGGCTTGGTTACACCTCTATGTTCCGACACCCCTATGTTCCGACTGCACATATTCCTATTCTTAACCCTAACCGGGAGTAACACAATCTAGGTTGTCGGAACATAGGGGTGTCGGAACATAGAGCAGTCACCTTATGGCTTAGTCCAGTTCCCGCCTCCCCAATGTTACTTACACTGAGGATTCGTGAATCGGGAGCCAGCCAAGCTCATGCTTCGTAAATATGTTCGCTCGTGGCAACACGTTTTTTCAATCTGTAATAACAAACAACCAGCAATTAAAATCTCGCTTTTTGGTTGGTTTTGTTAATTTTTTATTAACAAAGTTTTCTTGTGTACTTAGTTGAGTTTGTTGTCTGGAAAGGGTGTCCAAAATAGCCGATACTTCTGGTGTCTACCCAGCTATCCCTGATTTCTCTTCTCTCTTGTTTTAAGAAATGGTGAAAACTGTCAGTTTATTCACTGACTTGATGAAGTTGGTTTATTGTTTTTATTTTTACATTGCCTACACTACCGGTAATAAAAGTTGTTAAGTGTAATCCAGTTGGTTAAAGAAGAGTGGAATGCATGTTGTGTTTGTTTTTATTGTATTTAATTAATTAATTTATTGTTTAACTTAATTTTTTGGTATTGTACTCGAACTCTGACTCGGACTTAGGTACTCGGACTCGGCCCAGTACTCAACCTTGAATGTACTCGGACTCGGTGCTTTGGACTAGGACTCGTCA